AGTTTGGCTACAGTGCATTTTGCTCTATAGTGACGAACAGTGGTGTGTAATTGAATGTCAGCATCTTCAGAGCAATACTTTTATCTTTTTCATGATTTATTAAAAGCAAGTCACAACGTATTCTTTATTTTTAATTTGAACGAGTTTCTTGATTTCAACAAAAAATGCCTGAGCACCGTTCGCTCATTATATATTTAGTGCTTCTTCTCGAACACCTTTTCATCTGACTTTCAGGACTACCGTAACGTTCGGAGAGACTAAAGCGGAATATTTAACACCAGATGAAATAGAAGAAGAGTTTGTGAAAATCCTTCACGGAGACTATATCAAATTCCGAAAGTTACTGAGGTAAGCTATTGAACTAACAATTTTCAGTGACACCAACGATAGTGACCTTTGGTTGGAGTATATTAAAAGACGTCTGTATTGCTTTTCTTTTTATAACATGCTCTATGTTGTTTCTTTGTAATTAACACTCAGAGGCGATTGTTTGAGGAAAAATAGACGATTGGCATTTTTAAAACCTAAGTACATCTCTCGATTATAATAATTTCCAACTCCAGTCAAGGTAATTTTACCTTTTAATCAAGTCAATAGAAAACAATTTCAAGAATGATTAAATATTGTCTCCATTACTACCTGTTATTTTTACATAATTGTCGTGAGTTTGCATAAACCCGCTTTTTATTTCACGGAACCGATATTAGTACTCCTTGTTGTTGGGTGAACAAACTCCTCGGTTGAAAATGGGAAAGGAAAGGCTTCCAGCTGAATGACTTGAGTCCGTAATCCAATCAATTTACAAGAAAGAAAATAGCTTTCTTCTCTTGTGAAAACCACAAAGAGTTTAGTTTCATCAACAACGTCTCTAAGCTTCCTCTCTGTCTGCGGCATTTGAACGATACCGTTGTGAGAATCGACCTAGTTTCAAACCTGTTCAAATTTACGTCGACCATATTCTCACTCTGCCAAATTTCAGAACATAGACATTACTTTTAAAGACCCGCCATTTGCATTGTCCTTGATCTAGAAACCACTCTTGACTTAATCTATTATGGCGTGGTACCTCTCCGAAGGATGTGCACGATAATTTTCTCTAAAAATAACAACTTTATACCAATAGTCTAAACCTAGTTTCAAATTACTGCACTCTGTTACCTCAGTTCACCGAGGAAATCGGTGTACGTCATGAATGCACTCTCTCATTTTCGGTATATTTTCTTAATGGGGACGATTCCTGAATCAGATCCGTCCCCACGTCTGATTAGCGCCATCGATATGCTCCCTTGAGGTAAATTATTTTTATCTGGAGCGCTAGTGTAACCAGGGTCGGTATGTAATTTCCACTTTGAAGGTGTAAAATGTTATATTATTGGGGTTGGTCCAGCTCTCAAACTTATCCCAACTAGAAAAGAAACGGAGAGAGTAGGCAAATTTCTGCTACAAAGCAGCTGCATCTCATTGGGCGAACGAATCACGGATGAAGTTTCGGCATGCATACTGAACGCTGTGTTGACGTTTGCCAAGTGGAAACGTCTATGGTGCCATCGTGAAACCTGGCTCTTTGTAACAAGGTCGAGTGTACACTACAGCAGTTTTTCTGGTGCGCAGACCCGGCCGTTATGGGAACAAGACAAAAGTAGATAATAGGGGGTTCGAACACGACTGTCTACGCTGCATTGAGTGAGTCTGTTAGGGCAACCAAACAAGCGATGCTGTTGGTAGACGCGGAGTTTCAGGCGATCACCCACTGGAGTAAGTGCTCAACATCCCTGGTTTCCGTTGACTGTGGCGTGTGTTACGCATGTCACCTGATATCGCTCCTCGACTTGTTTTGTTAACCGAGGCAGTTAGTGAGTGGGAAACAATCATGGGTCGTCAGATTAAGACCCGACTTACAAACATGAAAGCTCTGATCAGGAGACTCGGTCACTATAGATGTCGTTAGGCTTCCCGAATGGGGACTCCGGGATCGGGGAGAAACATTGAATGACATGACTATATGTCATCAACAGTGGCATTCATGTATATCCTTGAAACCTCAGTTTATCTTCATCCTCTGTTTTTACCCAAACATTACATTCAATGTTTCAATAGTGTCTGTTCTCCCTCCGTGTAATTGATAACCAAATCTCCGGTACGCAAGCATAGGGTTAATGGTTGTACAAACCGAACTGTAAGGTTGTTGGGAATGTGAGGTCTACTCGATGTGTTTACCAAAACTTTACACCACCCCCACCTGGTCTGTACATTGTATTTTGTTTCATGTATCAATGAAAACGTCTGCAGTTGTACGTCAACTACTCACTTTTCTTGATCAAATTTTGTGTTTATTCTAGAAAAAGTAAGCTCTTCAAAGGTATTTAATATTTTCTAATAATGAACGTTAGGATTATCACTACATTTTCCCATTGATTTTGTTTCGTTTCAATCAATTTGAATCATCCTCGTTATTGTTTCTCTATTTTCCTTCTATATTCGTTCTCTAGCCAGAATGGCAATGCTCAAAAAGGCATAGATGAAACGAATTTTAAACGTATCATCAACGAAGCCATCGGGTTTGATATGACAGACGAGCAATGGGAGCAGTTAAAAACGCATCTGGTTTCTCTCCAACCGGGAGTTATAAATTGGCAGAGCTTCATTGATATTTTCAATTATCCGTAAGTTTGTTTCCCGTTTTGCTTTCGAATAGGTTTCGGTGTAAAAGCATTCCAGGAAAAATGAAGATGCTTTGGCCGCAAAAATTTAATAAATGAGAATCACTGAAACGATGTCAAGATTGAGTGTACTAATGCGTTTGATGAATTACATTGTATGACAGAATAAGATTTCATCCGATGCAAATTCTTAATTTCTTTTTCGGAAACTAATCAACCTCCCAAATTGGACGAATCTAACATTGTAGCATCTTGCTTATAGGCATCTCAGTTTCTGTCTTCATTATCTTCGAATGATTTTCATTTCAGGCGAACACAACTCCCTTCTGAAATTTTTCTCCGGGGGAAATTACTTAACTTATATTTGTCGCATCTTCTAATGTCTGCGCAACCTTAGTCTACCATAGTTCTCCATTTTCTCTTCGACAGAGCTTTCAAATTTCCACCCCTCGATCCAAATAGGCAGCCAAAAGACGGCAACCGAAACCGGCTCATGAAAAGACATGGTTATTGGTTATACAAACTGAAACTCAGTTTACATCAAAACCAAAAGATACGTTTGAGAGTTTGATTTTCCACCGAAAACACTGCATTTATAAGCGGTCGTTTTGATGGATATGGTCCTTTGGTCGACTGTAAACAACATCGTGACGCGATGGAAATGTTTGTGATGTCCGATAAAGAGCACCGAGCAGCTGTTTCGTCCTGTTTGAGACTCGTTAGCAGTTTGTACTTTTTGTGTCCCTGTCAGGACTCCAATCGCGAATCTTTGGGTCGGGACTTCAAACTCATACTCCTGAGCTACACGGCCGCCGTGACAGAGTTACTAGAATTTGGTGCTTTGAATATAAATTTAAAGTCATCCCTTAATGGATGAAACGAAGTGGTGGTTGGCTCATGACCATTGTTCAACGTAAATATCACACAGTCTGCAAAATTTACGTTCCGGACGATTTTTATGTATCTCAGTTCGGTGCATGCTGCATAAAACGCAAAACTTACATAGGTTTTTGGTAAGGCATATAAGAAAATTATAATATACGAATACAGGTAAACATAGAGGGTGAATTGATCAAGAGGAAGATCATGTCACAGTGGTATGGACAAACTAATCTGAAACTCTTTCTTTTGACACACAGGAGGGGGGAGCTTCCATTGTTTCAGCAAACATTGACCACCTCGTGATTCGTTAATTGTAGACGAACCGAAACAAAGTTCCTTGGTCAAACTGACTGCGCGATCAGATTCCGAGTTGTGACTGATTACGGAGTTTTGTACTGTGAGATTGCGCCACCTTTTCACATCGTCTTCTCCCTCTCACCCATGACCTCAAACAATTAAATCCTCTCTGACCCTCTCTGCGATCTGATTGGATCACTTTCCACGATTTGCGCAACTTGATCCCTTAATCCGACTCAAGACTGTCTGATCACCGGTTCGTAATGTTTTTGATGTTTCATGTGAGTAATGGAAGATTCGATTAAATTTCAATTGAGAGTTGGTCGTGTATATGGTAAGTGAAGCGTGAGCTGAAAAGATAGGAAGTACTGGACAGCTGTTTAGACCTGGTTTGGTCTCATCAGCATTGCGAATCCATCGACCCAACTGGGGGTCGAACTCGGGACTTCATGGGCAGAACGCAAACATCATACGCACTACTCTACCGAGCAGCTGGTCCGTTTTTCGATCCCCAGTTGGGTCGATGGATTCGCAATGCTGATGAGACCCAACCAGGTCTAAACAGCTGTCCAGTGCTTCCAAGTTTTTGATGTTCTTGCTGTCATCTGTAATCCGTTCGTGACCTCTCGCTGGATGGGTATCACGTCCCTTGTTGCAGCTGAATCATCCGACCGATCGTTAAATAAACGCGATCGATCGTGAGACTGTCGGGTCGGCATAGGGGGAGGATAAGTTATGAACCCGATCCTGTTTAAGTGTTGCCAGAGACTCACAACGATACCTGGACATTCAGAATAGGAATACTTCAATCGATGATAACATCGGGTCAGCGCTTGACTCATCTCAGATAAAGGCATTATTTTTCTAAGCGGGTCCGGTGAAAGGATAGTCATAATAATCCATGGTCCGCGCAGAGTCGAAGAAGGTGATCTCCGTTGTCCGTCCGGTTGGCTGAGAGTGAATGCGGTCCCCCAAGAAGCCTTTCTGATTCGTCCAGGGATCCCACTTGAGCATTGAAGTCTCCGGCGACTACTACGACGTCCGTTGATTGAGCACTTTGGAGTAGCTGAGAGAGATCCTGGTAGAATTCATCTTTGACTTCAGGTATACTGCAATCTGTCGGTGCATACGCCGATACGAAGAATAAGCATCGACGCTTCATTCTGTAGCTGTTGACTCGAACTGAACCGTTGAGACGTACAGCGCACAATCGGCTACTGACTGGAATCCAGTCAAGAAGCGAGCGCTCACCATTGACACTTAGCGCAATCACGACATCAGCAGCATATCAAGCTTTGGATACCGAATCGCCTGACACACGGAGGGTGAAGCGTGAGGTTGAGGTTGGCTCAGAAGAAAGCATGGAGCTAATTGAAGTAGGGTCTGGTATGCTTGTTCCGGAGGCACAACATACATCTAATTTGAAAGTTTCAAGGGTTCTAGCTAAGGCAGCTTGTTGGCCGATCTGATAGAGTGTGCAGACATTGAATGCAGCTAAGTGAAAAAGGGAATTTGGCCTCAAAAGTCCTATGCATTCTGATTGTTTGGCATTACTGGTAAAAAGCTGAGTGATATCCGAAGGGTCTTTTAAACAGGAGATATTAGAGATTATTCGGGATTGAGAGAAAGAACTAGACAGATGGGAAATAGATTTTCCCAAATGTATGCCTCAGATTTTAGGGCACGGCATACTTCGCGGTAGCCCACACTGACGAAAGGGTTTTCCTTTAGAAACCCTAGCCGGAGCTTTGGACTCAAAAGTATGACCCACAAGGCAGTGGGGCGTAAATCCAACGCGGGAGCGTGGCCTGTCATGTAAGGCTTTCGGGTTTCGATTCCGTGTGTTGTTCGCTAGTGCGTTGCTTGTCGGTCTGCTTTTCGGGACCGGCTCTTAGTCTCGTACACCCAATGAGACAAGCGAAATTTGGACGGGACTGCACCTTATTGGCTGTCGGCTGCCCAGCTTGGGCGGCAGGTCGCTGTCCAATTAAGTGCAAAGACTTATCCCACCGTTCAAATTTTTATTATGGGATATAACTTACAAAGACTTCGCTTTTACAAATCCCATAGGGTGTGTACACATTGGTTCGGATGAAGAATCACAATATCACAGTTAGTCCATGAAAGTAAAGTATTAAAGTAATGTTTTGACGAGCACAGGAGAATATGTTAAGAGAGTTCCATGTGCTGCACATTCTGACTGCAAACGAGTGACGTCTGCAGTCGAGACGGCTTTTTTGGTGTGCCAACTTTAGCGGATGCCCTCTGAGATGAACGTTGTGCGATAAAACCAACAGAGGTCTACAGGGGTGGTTGGGTTGTTGGAAAAGCCGATAGAGTAAAATCATATCGCCTCTGATTCGACGATACTGGGATGAGTATAGCCCCAGGAGCTGTAATCTTTCTCCGTAGGTCTTGGAATGCAAACCTTTGACCATTTTGGTAGCTATTCTCTGTGGATGTTCGAGTGCCTTCAGATCTCGCTGCA